TCGGTGTTTAATTGCTGTCAAAACTGTTTTAGCTAACAAACTAATCCTCTTTGCTGTTACAACTTTGTGTCTTCTGCAGTTTCAACAACTTAAAACATTCATTTTCGGATGTCCACTACACATTGAAAGTACTGATATAATTTACAACCGATTATTAACAGCCTTTTTGTAAACCAATTTTTTCTAGCAAATTAAATTTTAGATAATGATTTTATCAAATTCTGTTGTTGTCTTTCTTTTATTTTTCTGTGATTATCTTTTCTATTTCAACTTAATTCTGTAAGAAAAAAGTCTTTTTTCTATGATTATTGTTGTAGCTCCCCCCTTTTTTTTTTTTTTTACTGCCAACATTTTTAACGTTATACGCAGCCGGAAGTTCAGTTTTTGAGAGGTATTAGAAATTTGCTATAGAACTTTTCAGTCTTTTTCATATTTTCCGCAATCTAGTGACATCTTTACTGATATTTACAGCTGTTGGCAGCATGACTGTAAGTGTTAACTGAAGACATCAACAGATGTTAAACAGCGCCAAAGAGGAAGAAAAAAATGATTGTTTAGGCGGAAACAATTTAAAAAACAAGTTGTCGCTTACAAATTGTTTGCGTTCAAGAAAGTTATGAATCAACAGCTGATTGTTTGCTTTACTATAAACTGGTCAATGGTCAGCTGCGGAAGCTAACTGTGGTTTTGCAATTAGAAAAATTAGATCTAAAATTGAAGCTGAACGTATCTGAAAGAGATTGAACGAAAATCTAAAAGCTTTTTGGCGTAAAAAACATTAGCGATAGAGAAGTACAAAGACACCTGTGATAATTGGCCTTGTAGGATCAGCTAAGAATTGAAAATTACAGATGTCTGAGTGAAGTTAAAGAGCAAAGTGTGAGCTTTAAGAAACTTGGTACGCAGAGGGTATAAAAAAATTTTTTTTAAGGCGGACAAGATAAGCTTGCAAAATCAGTAATTATTGTAGGAAGTTACTACGTATTTTGAGAGTAAAGTGTCAAATTATCATTTTTTGATGCCTTGTGTTTTTTCTATCACTGTATTTTATCTCTATTCTGAATTTGCTACAGCTCTTCACTGTAAAAGAATATGGAAATATTACGAGATCGACATTGAAAGATTAGCAATGAAAGGTAAGTAAATCTCAATAAAGTTATAAAAATTCTTAAAATTATGATAGTAGAAGAGAAGAGTCACCAATTTAAAATGAGCTAGATTGGGAAGATTTTCAATTATTAAGCCGAAAAGCCAGAAATTGTATTGTTTTATTGAAAAAATTTTCTTTTCTATGTTGAATTTTATACTATGGAGAATAAAACAACAAGTAATGAGTTCTTGATTTGTTTTGTTTTGTTCTTATTATTTTCTTAAATCATAAGCTTCAGTAATCTGTTACACGATAGTTTTTTAATTGTTAAAATTGCTATCTGTGGCGGTATAGAAAACTTTAGTTTAGCTAATGAATCAGTATTTGTAACAGTATAGAAAAAATGAGAAAGCAGCTTACTTTGTTTATTTTTAGTAAAATTTATTAGGCATTGTCATCATGTTTAAAGCCCTCTTTTTACAGCAACATTAGTTGTTGTAAACTTTGCTTTCTCTTTTACAATTTTTTTCATTGCTCAGTAAAAGCAAGTGTTTTGTTCCCCAAAAATTCTATGAATTCTATAGGCCTTTTTCTTTTCTTTTCCCTTTCAAATCTGTCGTTTTTTTTTTTTTT